TGAATAGGGGCTCAGTGTAGAGCACTTGCCTAGCAAGTGAGGCACTGGGTTTGATTCTCAACACCACATAAAAATACATAAATAGGGGCTGGGGATGTGGCTCAAGTGGTAGCGTGTGCTTGCCTGGCATGCGTGCGGCCCGGGTTCGATCCTCAGCACCACATACAAACAAAGATGTTGTGTCGGCTGAAAACTAAAAAAAATTAAAAAATTCTCTCTCTCTCTCTTTCTCTCTCAAAAAAAAAAAACTTTAAAAAAATACATAAATAAAGGCCTATACATAAATATAATGCCTATTCATTATAATTAAAACTATTTTTTAAAGGCTGAATAAATTTAAAATGACTCAATCATACAAAATATATTCTCTGACCACAATGAAATTTAATATTCGTAATCAATAACAAAAGACACCTGGAGGAATGGGGCTATAGCTCAGTGGCAGAGCACTTGCCTAGCATGCGTGAGGCATTGGGTTGGATCTAAAGTACCACATAAAAATAAAAACAGATAAAGGTATTATATCCATCTACAACTAAAAAAATAATAACAATATAAACAAATAAAATGAAGGCATTCTGTCCATCTAAAACTACAAAAACAAGCAAACAAACAAAAAAACACCTGGAAGCTGGGCATGGTGAAGCACGCCTATAATCCCAGAGGCTCAGGAAGCTGAGGCAGGAGGATTATGAGTTCAAAACCAGCCTTAGCAAAAAGCAAGGTGCTAAGCAACTCAGTAAGACCCTGTCTCCAAATAAAATATAAAAAAAAAGGCTGAGGATGTGGCTCAGTGGTCAAGTGCCCCTGAGTTCAATCCCCGGTACTAAAAAAAAAAATCAGCTGGGTGTAGTGATGCATATATGTAATCTCAGCTACAGGAGGCTGAATAGTAGGATTGGAAGTTCAAGGCCATCCCAGGCAATTTAGCAAGACCCTGTCTGAAATAAACAACAAAAAAGCATATCAAACTATGCTTTAAACATACGCAGTTTATTGCTTGTCAACTGTACCTCACAAAATAGTTTTCTAAAAATTGATGTTACCAGGTGTGGTGGCACACACCTGTAATTCTAATGGCTTGGGAGGCTGAGGCAGGAGGATCACAAGTTCAAAGCCAGCCTCAGCAATTTAGGGAGACCCTAAGCATGTAGTAAGACTCTAAAATAAATAAAAAGGACTGGAGATGTGGTTAATGACCTCTGGTACCAAAGTGTCTCTCAATTCCTGGTACAATAAAAATTAAAAATTGATGCTTAGGAGCCCGTTGTGATGGTATATCCCTGTAATCCCAGGGACTTTGGAGGCTAGGGTAGGAGGATCATAAGTTCAAAGCCAGCTTCAGCAATTTAGGGAGGCCCTAAGCAACTTAAGACCCTGTCTCAAAATAAAATGGACTGAGCTGGGGTTGTGGCTCAGTGGTAGAGCACTTGCCTAGCATGTGTGAGGCACTGGGTTTGGTTCTCAGCACTGTATATAAACAAAATAAAGGTTCATTTGATACCACTGGTTATTGGTGAGGGTGAGGAGTTCTGCTTCCCTACATGTTGAAGTTTGAACATTAAAGAAGCACACCTAGGAAAGCATATGAAGCAGGGTTTATTTAAAAAGGGGTAACATAGACTTCTCCTGCAAGGGAGAAGGGGCCATAGCTGGTATCCCAAGAAACGAGGTGTTCTGCCCTTTTTATATGTCCTAGGATTCCTTTGTTCTCCTGCCTTTTTCCCTTTTATCTTTCTCCTTCTTGTGGAGGTGGTGACTAGGCCCAGGAGTGCTGGGTGGGATGGCCAAAAGGTGGGAACCAGGTGGGCTGAAGGGGGAAGGGCAGGTGGAATAGACAAGGACACTTTAACAACCCTAGAGCTCCCTGGAGGGAGGGGCAATTCCTGGGACAGGTTACCCTGGCAACAGGTTGGAGCAGGGGCAGGTTCTACATAAGATCCCTCAGGGGACAGTCTCCAACTTCCCAGAGTAACTTAAAATTGGCCTCCTAGTTCTTTTGACTCAATTCATCTATCTACACTGACTACCTATCTTTAAATCTGGCTTCACATTGACAACTAAAAAGTATTTTAAGTAAATAAATAAATAAATAAAATTAAAAAATAAAAAGGACTGGGAGGGCTGGGGATATAGCTCGGTTGTAGAGTGTTTGCCTTTCATGCATAAGGCCCCTAGGTTCAATCTCCAGTACTGAAAAAAAAATTCAGGGGACTGGGGATATAGCTCAGTTCGTAGAGTGCTTGCTTCACATGCACAAGGCCATGGGTTCAATCCCCAGCACCACACACACACAAAAAAAAAAAAAAAAAAGAAAAAAATTCAGGTTGAGAGCTGGGAATGTAGATCACTGGTAGAGACTTGCCTAGCATGCACAAGTCCTTGAGTTCCACCTCTGGCAATGTAAGAAGAAAAAAAAAGTTGATGTTTATCAAAAGCTTTGGAGAAATGTTTAGAATCAAGTTGTAATTACCACATATAAGAAGAGCAGTGAGGGCTGGGGATGTGGCTCAAGCGGTAGCTTGCTCGTCTGGCATGCACGCGGCCTGGGTTCGATCCTCAGCACCACATACAAACAAAGATGTTATGTCCACTGAAAACTAAAAAAAATAAATATTAAAATTAAAAAAAAAAGAAGAGCAGTTATTCATGGCTTATACTTCAGAAAGAAGTGTGCCTCCCATGTGCAAGGCCCTGATTTCAAAAGGAACCATGGGGATGTGGGGGAAACAAGGTCTGGAGTCAACTTGTGACTATGCAGCTTTGAACAAACTACTCAGCCTGTCTGTGCCGATGGCAGGCATATGGAAAGAGGTCATAAGCTCATCCCAGGGAAGCCCTCAGCACCTGGCATGCAGGGAGTACTCAGAGATTAGAGGCACTGAGGTTCTCCTAACAGAATGGGAGAAGGTGACCTATACCTGAAATAAACTGCTGGCAACCACTAAACTGTTCCAGAGTACTGCCATTTACCCTTGACCCTCTAAACCTTCTGAGTCATCCTTGGCTCACCCCTCACCCTCAGCCCCCATAGTCTGATGGCTGCCAAGACAAGTAGAATTTTCCTTGGAAATGCTCTTTCTCTTCATGCTCAGGGGTCCACCTGCCATTTTAGGCCCTGAGGCCCTGTACTGTGGCAATCTTCTGCTGACTCTTGCTGAACTGAGTCTGTTCCACATTCCTTTCTCAACTGCCCATCTCCTGTTGTAGAAAGTCCCAGGCTCCTGGTGAAGCCAGAGTTAGAAAGGCAGTCAGTATAAACAGGTAAATGGAGTCAGGTCAGATCAAGGAGGCCAATTGTGAGTGAGTCCCAGAAGTTGGAGACAGTCCCCAGAGGGATTGAAATGTGAATTCCCTCAGAGTCCTTCCTCCACCCTCATCAAGAACCTGCCCCTGCTCCAACCTGTTGCCAAGGTAACCTGTCCCAGGAATTGCCCCTCTCTACGGGGAGCTCTAAGGTTGTTCAGGTGTCCTGGGCTGCACAGCACATCCTGCCCTTCCCCCTTCAGCCCAGGGGTTTCCCACTTTGGCCCTCCCACGGAACATTCCTGGGCCTAGTCACTGGAGGGAGAAAGAGAAGGGGAAGAGGGCAGGAGAACAAAGGAAGCCTGGGACATACAAAAAGGGCAGAAAACTTCGCTTCTTGGGATACCAGCTATGGCCCCTTCTCCTTTGCGGGAGTCTATGTTACTCCTTTTTAAACAAACCCTGCTTTATAAGCTTGCCTCCCTGTGCTTCTCTAATGTTCAAACTTAAACAGGATTCCTTACCCATAACCGGCAGTATCACTGGGACACACAACAGAGGTCCCTCTTCAGGTGTGCAGACCACAGGGGGCTGCCACGCAGCTCATCCCACCTCTCCCTTCTCTCTGCTGGGGTATCTACCCACATGCTCCTTGCCTGGGAACTCCCATTGAATGTCCTTGTCCAGTTTCATGGTTTGCCCAGGCCAGGGGCTTGTGCCCGCTCTGCTGTCTGACTGAAGGCAGGCCCCAACACAGATGGGCTTCCACCAGAAGCCAAGGGGTTGAGAAGGCCACGGGAGGAGGGTCCTGCCACCTCTCACAGGTCTCTTGCCCTCCCAGTTTCTGGGCCTTTGACTCTACAACATCATCCTGCCCGACCAAGCCAGCCCAGTTCCCTTCTGTTCCTAAGCATCCCCTGTAAGTGTGTTCCTGCCCTCACTCCCAGCATCCTGTTTACTGAAGCCCATCCACCTGGATGCTCCACAGATTTGTTTACCCAACACTGGGGTCATTAAACTGGTCACCTGCCTTCATCAGCTTGAGCCCCATGTTCCCAATAACCACAGCTCCAGCCCACTCTGTGCCCATCTCCACGCCTGACCTGGCTGCCTCAGACCTAGGAAGCCATGCCGGCCCTGCCCTCCCTCCCGCGGAGAGGCCCAGGTGACTTGGCCATTTATGAGGAATACGGGGCGGCTGGAGCTCAGTGGAAGCAGCCTGCTTAGCATGTCTGATGCCGGGTTTCGACCCCAGTCCCCGGCACAAAAACAGTGTGTAAAAGAAGTGGGCACGAGAGAGGACGGACGGCGCAAGCCCGGCGGGGCCGCACCCTGGGCTCTGACCGCCCGCGCCCACCGCTCGC